GTTTATCTTTGAACTTTACGCAGAAATCAAGTCGTCGTCAGGCAATTGTCGTGTGGTCAGTGCGGACGAGCGAGTGTGTAAAGAAGGTTCGAAAACAATTCAAACGAAAAGTTGAAGAACCACACATGACAAGCTCGACCAATCGGGAAAGAAACAGCATAAATATTTAATCATACAAAAGGAGTTATAATGAAATAGAGTCGAGATTATAATAAAGAATAGTCAGGCAACAACAAGCGCACACATTTATGCACACTTATGACTTTTTTGTTTTAAAATAATTTCTTTTTCGCATAGGTGCGATTCAATTATATAATATTATCCCTAAGTTACAAGCGAGCGACCTCAAAGTGTAAACAGTGAAAGAAGAAAAATATTAATAATAATAGGCTTAGTTTAGATCCTTCAGAGTTTCACTTGCTGGAAACCTTTTCATGCGCTTTTGCTTTCAGCGCTTATTTAGCTATCGTTTCCTTAAGGTGCTCATTAGCTAAATTCTAAAAGCCAATGCAACCAAATTGATCGTTAAGTGGTCCTGCTGTGTGGGATATCGCTGAGCTATCCCACATTTAATTTACGTAAAAAAGTAAAAAAAAAGCAAAATGTAGACGACCAAAAAAGTACACGAAAATTAATTCCCGTCAGATGTAATACACTTATGCCAACAATATTTTAAGTTCTCAAAACACTTTTCATAAGCACTTTTTGGATGGCCTTCAGCTCCTTCAACGAAGTTTGTTTTATCTCTTCGGTCGACTAAAAACTAGTTCCACGGAGCAGCAATTTCAGACCGATATCGAATTCTCTTGCTATCTATCTAACACTTGCCTGACGATTTTCAAGCACCATATTCACTTGTTTAATATTTTCATCAATTGAGGAGTTCGAAGGTCGTTTGGAACGTAGGCTTCTAACCACTTGTAGGCTTTTGTTTTTAATAAAACTGAATAACTGTAAATATTTTCCAAGATTCCCAACGATTCCGATATCTTTTTACGAAATTAATGGAAAACATGAAATTTGTAAAGTGTTGAAATTTAGCGCCAGAAACTTTCAAAGACTGCCGATTTAACACAATCGAAATCGATAGCTGAGGCATCTATTGGACACAATTTAGTGAAACATAGGCCTCAAATGACAACAAGCATAAAATAAATCTGATAAGAGATAAAACACAGACGTCATACCATAAACAATTTTATAATTGATGGATCAGTTTTAGTAAGATGATATCTGACTTCGTAGGCTGTGGCTTTTGTCTATTATTATGGAAGATTTGGTAAGATGTGCTCTTTGGTTTCCAACGATAATGACTCAAGGGATACTCCATTATTTCACTGCTGGTTTGCTCTTGACTTTGTACGTATTGCTTACTATTTAAATTTCTTGTACATACGCTCTTTTTAATTTATCCATTGCTGCAAATATAATTATTTCTCCTTCCATGATTCTCATAGTAATAATAAAACTGTTGTTTTTTTTTCAATCATGTGTTTGTAGACGCTTTTTCTTTTTTTAAATAACCTAATCTGGAATTTTCTTTGTCAAGTAGCAGTACAACCAGCGTATAATCCAAAAATCCATTTCTAATAAAAACACCCACAGCCTGCTCGCTCATTACTCCATGCAGGCGGCTTATAAATCAATTACTTCTCGACATTTATGACACATTGCACGCACTGCATCTCAAGCCACTTGAGGGGCTACGAAAAAGTGCTTTCTTTTTTGCATATAATGGTACACTCTCTCTTTTCTTTCACCCTGCTATCTTTTTCTTGTTTTCTTCTTCACTTATTCTTGCAGAAATATGCTGCCAATTCAACATATCACTTGTCAATCTGTCGAAAGTTTTTCTTTATTCGACCTAGTCGTCTCACCCTGCATCCCACTCCGGTGTTGTCAGCGTTTCAACTTTTTGTTTGTTGTAAGTGAGATTATTTTAATGGTATCACAACTTTCTGCTCAACATCCGGAAGTTTTGCATGACAAGACGGAAGCTTAAGTTTTACTCTGTACTTTTATGAGTTGAGTTTACTTTCTTGCTCGCAGTTATCAGCTGTCTTCTACCGCTTAAGTTATGTTTATTGCTTTCGTATTTAAAACGTATTTTCTTTATTTGTTTGTTGTTGCTATCGTGTTGCTTAAGTGCAAAAGTTTTGTACCTTATGGCACTCGGTGTATTGAGACATGAAATTATGGGAATTCGAATTAGTGGCCATCACTAGTTATTACTAATATTTTTTTGATGCAATTTTTTGCTCCTATTACTATTTTTATATTTATATCCTGAGCTGCTTATATTTGTTACATTCAACACGAAGTTTGTAGCACACAGAAAGAATCGTCGAAGGGCCTATAAAATATTGTATGGTATAAATGGTATATGGTACAGCTATAAACGATCAGCATGACGATCCGAGTGGACTTAGCCTGTCTGTCCGTCTGTATAAGCCTACCGATAGCGGTTCTAGGGAATAGTCTCTTGCTAGATCATCAGTTTTAAAATTGTCTGCGATTCCACTGTGGCCTGGCAGCCATACCAGTCCTATCACAAAGACAGTCGATGCTATTGGTAGCGGGGTCTGTTAATGAGTGCAAGACTAGTATTGCCGCTCTGCTATCTGAGCGGATGGTCACTTAAGGGAGGCTGCATTCCGGAGCAGTAAATATACTACTCCCTTAATGGCTAATACCTCGGATTGAGAGACACTGCAATAGTCAGGAAGTATGAAGCTGGAATTGATATATAGCTCCTGACAGTAATCCCTCCACCAACCGTCCCTCCAAGCTTTAAGCCATCCGTAAAGAAGCTTACTGCCCCTCTTCTTCCCACCCACAACTCCCTCGCCAGATTATGGAAAGAGAATGAGCCGTCAGAAGTTGGTTTGACGACACCATGATCCGAGTGATCTGGTATGAAGTCAAAGTGTGTGAGGATATCCGAGTGTTCAGACACGTGCTCTTTAAGAATCTAAATTCTCTGCCATACACCTTTCAACGATGTCTACCGGCATTATGTGCAAGATAGCGTTAAGTGGTTGGAGTGGACTTCAGTGCACCACACATGCTGATGACCGTTGTCCGTTGAAAGCTCCCAAGTTTCTTAGCAAGTATGGTCTTTTCTAGAGCCCTCCGCTACATAAAGACTCCATAGAACATTATGGGCTGGACTATGGTGTTGTAGGGCCAGAGAAGCACTTTCGTTGAGAGACTCCACATTTTGCCAATGGCTCCTACTCCTCTTCGGCTTCCATGAAAGCTTCCTATCCAGGATGAGCTCTAGATATTTCACTGTATCCGCTCTATCTTGTGGAGTTCCTCTACTCACTTTTGGTCGAACACGTACGTTCTTGTATAGAAACCTCTATATGTACTTATTTCTGAAGAGTATTCTATTTTCTTGTTGTGATAGTTTATGATTTATTTTTTTTTTTTTTGTTGAAATATGTTTTTGTTTTTTAAAGATAAGTTATTGTTTCTTAGTAATATTAATTTAAATATTTAATTTAATAACAAAAATTTAAAAGAATAAAAAATGTAAAAAAAGAATATTTTTTATTTATTTTTAATAATTTTTTTTACAAAAATTTCATTAAATTTCTCCTAAAAATTTTTTCACTGAAAATCTTGTTTTCTCTAAATATTTATTATTATATTGTTTTTTCTTGTTGTAGTTTAATATCAGTAAACAGTAATAAGACTTAAAAATAAAACCATTGCTTTCCATTTCAAAGTCATAAGACTGAAATCCACGCCCTGCTAACCATAGTTATGTCTGTTAGCAGTTTGCATGTAAAGATGTTTGTTTGAATGTAATGGAGTGTGTGACAAATATTCCCGCTGGGCTATGGCGCGCTGCCATAATCATCAGGTGCATTTGCATAGGCAGCAATAAATGGCTTATTTATGATTTTAAAAGTAATTCGCGGCGCACACGCAATGCCAGAAGACAGTCAAGAAGAAGAAGCAGAAGAATATGACACAGAAGCACCAACAAATCGTAAAAAACAACATTGAAACATTGACTTTGACACTGACCAAACGGGTTGCGTACTTTTTTCGGTCCCAACGAAAGGGAAGTGCAGCTGCGTTTGACACTTTTTGCTTATGAAGAATTTGGGTGCAGCACAATAACAACAATAACCACAAGCAGGCAAAAAGTGCTAATGATGTTTTTAAGCAAACTTTTATGGCGTCCAGTTTTTGTTACATTTATTTTTTGTTATTATATTTTTTTGTTTGTTATCGGTTTTAATGACAGACTCGCTTAATATTTGGCAACAGGGTTCATTCATCCGCCGCAATGAGGAAAAGTAAAACGCACGAGAAAAAAGAATAATTTTAATTTAAGTTAAACCAACGAGCTGTTAATGCAATTGCACTAATTTATATGCGCGCGGCGGGGTGGGTGTGAAGGAAAAATATGAAACCAGTTTGCTGGCTAATTTGCACACTTTTGCTGACAATTGCAGGTGTTTATTGGCAGCGCAGCGACAAGTTCAATAAAAATGTGTAATATACTACACACATTTTTTTGGTGTAATTTTTAAGAGAATTTTCTAACGAAAAAAATTTATCGTAAATAAAATTTTTAATCGAAATAGAAAAAAAGTGTATCGCAATAAAAAAATACAAAAAAAAAAACAAATAATATATAAGAAAAACTGTTTCGATAAAATTCGATAATTTTTTTAAGCGAAATAAAAAAATATCGAAATAAAAACATACCTAATATCGAAAATAAAATTAATCGACAAAATTAATCGAATTTTTTTTATCGAAATATAAAAAAAAGAAATAAAAAAATGCTATTAGGAAAAAAAATTAATCGAAATAAAATTAAAAAAAAAAATTTAAATCATTTAAAAAAATTAACATGCCGATTATGATTCAGCGTTTACTTGTTATTTAGCGCTTAATTAGGAATATTTTTGTTTTTTGTTTTATTATCTTCTTTTTTCAATACTTGAAATTAATTCCTTTTTTTTATTTCTTTGCAGCTGTTTTAAACACACATACCAACGAAGCAACGCATACACACTCACAGCTATATTTGCAGCAAACATTGGCGCGTCAGGAGTACGCTTTCCAACACACGCTGCCACAAAAAGCGGTAAGTGCTCGAGATGCTGCCGCATAAGGCGCCATTACTATAATTTTTATATAATATTCATAAATACATACCTATACATATATGAACATATGTATATATATTTCTATAAAGACTTGTTGCCACTGGCAACAATGAAAGATGGCGGCTGAAGAAAACTCAGCAGCAAAGCATTTAAGCGGCTTCCGGGAAATATTTCTTTGGTGGCAAGATGCGCACAAATGAGCTGTCTTATAGATGGAAATGAAAACAACTACTACACTTTTAAGTAAACACAACCACGTAACTCCGGAGCAGCGACGCTGCATGTCTCCAATGACAATAGAAGTAAACACGCTTTTATATACATACATGTATGTATGTATGTATACATATATATACGTTAGTATAAAGATATACATATCTACATTAGTATGTTGATATAAATATATACCTATATGAGTATATTTATGCATCTTTATATGTGCTCCTCTCCAGCATTAATATGCCTGTCGTCGCAGTATTTGCCGCCATTTGGCGATTTGTCGGGCAATCGCTCCGCTAGACAAATAACAAATGCATGCACTCACACTCACACAATAAACACACACAGGCACAACTGTTTGCCTGTATTGCTATGAAATGCCAATTGTTGCATAAGCATACGCTTTACTAACATTTCTTGAGAATTTGTGTGGAAACACTGAGTTATTCTACAAAGTGTGTCTCCTCCTCCACTTTCGCTATGAAAATGTGCAAATAAGTGCGTGTGTGTGTGTATGCACAGGTGTTTATTAGCGACGCTGGCAGTTAGCATAAGTAGCGTGTGCCATTTGTGCTGCTTGAATACGTGTGGGCGCCTTGAAGACTATTGTAAATATTTCCTTTAACGAATTGAGCCGTCTCTAATGTCATTTAAAATCTGTTTCCTTAAAATTTACAATGCTCCGCAGATTCTTAAGAACTTCGGCGTAGCTATTACCTTATGCTGACTTTATAATCACGTTCTCTGATTGTCGTTTGGGCCTATTATTTACAGCTATATTCCTCCCTTGTTGTCCTCCTTTTGCGTTTTTATGTGCTTCGTCCACCGTTCCTTCGTTTGCGTGGGTCTTCCCTGCTTTTTTAGACCGTCCTTCCTGCACTGGCCGCCTTTTTCATTTCGTGGTCGCACTGTTTCTCGAGGCTTCACAAGGCTTGTCGCGCTCCGCTTCGAAGTTATTGACCCGATGGTCGTTATGCTTAGATGTTCCCGTCTTCATTTTCTCATTTTCTGCGATGAGCCAGTTTCTACAGTAACGCTTGATTACGTCAAAAAGTTGTCTAGCTGTGACTTTCCGTTCCGTTCTTAACATTCATGCTCACGTTGTTCGGTTTTGCCATTGCCAACTTCATTATTTGCTCGATACACTTGCACTTTTGTAAGGATTCGTCTTCTGCACGTCTAATTTGGGTAATGTATTCTTGTTTCGGTGAGTTTTGAGACCCTTCTATGGTGGCTCTTCTCTTCTCCTTGTTTTGTTGATGGTGCTTGTGTGAGCGGAATTTTTCTTGAAGCTGTCTTTTCTCCACTTTTGTTCGATTGTTTTGGAGTGGCGATGGGCATAGGCGATCTAAGCATCCTGCTATTTCTACGGTAGACGGTAGCGTATTCCTCGTTTTGCCCTTCTTTATTTTGTTATTCTTTCTGTTGGGTTTTTGGGTTGTTGTTGCGATGTATTAATTTTGTTCTAGTGGGTCTCCGCTTCAAGCCGCTATCACCACACGTTGCAGGAGTTGCCCTTTATGAACCCTATTGTTATCTATGCAAGCAGAAAGGCCAGGCGAGAGTTGACACAAGTCCTTATGAGAGCTTATGTTCAGAGCCAGGTTCGGCCTGTACGCTCAAAAAGTTATGACGACGGGTCTCCAGTACACTATATCAGTATCTCAAACCCAAGTTTTTTCGTCAAAGTCTGTGCATATATAGTGCTGGAGAAAAACAATCCAACCAGTATTATTCAAAATGTTGTCCATCTGAAGTTAAAACATTTTCCAATTTTTCTGAAAATTTGATTTGGATTATATTCAAAAAAGAACTCCGCCGGCTTGGTGGCCAAGTATGAATCAACAGAATAACTTGTTCTTGTGTTTTCATGTGAACCATATGCTAGTGAGAGCCTTCTGCAACGACCAATACAAGTGTTAGTCAGTAGAAGCAAGAGTCAGGCTATAATGCAGGCGAGGCAAAATTTTCCAGCCGCTGCTTTCCAAATAGCTCTAATCGGTGCTGCAACCCAGCCGACTATTGTCATGCAAAATTATTGTCTCATGTCTGGTCGAAAATTTCGGACATTGTTCGGCAAAGCTGCTAATTTCAACTTCAGGATTGGTTTCGCCTGGTTTTAGAAGCTCATACTACAGCACGTCTTTCTGATTCTACCCAGTACAGAACATTACCTAGACGTCATGGATATGCGGCTTTGCTGTTAATTTGGTTGGTTTGGCCAGTTTTCACATAGAATTTTTTAAGTAATAGATTTATTTTTCTGCATCAGTCACAATCCGATGAAAAAATGTTATTTTTAACTTTCAAGTTCTAACATTTCCGACATGCATAATCGTCTTTCAGCGAAGCTTGCCTAAAACTAATATGTCACCCATTTTCCTTGTCTTGGAATATATGTATGTATATGGCGACTTTTAGACGTTTTTAAATGGCTGCTTTTTTTATTGTTTTATCTTGCTCAACTGCTTATAAGAAACGATTTTTCTGGTATACAATTAGTTTAGCATTTATATGACTTCCTTAAAGCTAAGTATATAGCAGCATATTCTGTTATTTACTTACACACATAGCAGACATCAAGTTTAGATGCTCAGAAGCATTAATTGGAGATGTGTGTTTTGTCTGTTGAATGCTTTCAAATTTATTGAAAAAATTGCAAAAATAACAAAAAATTGTAAATGATTGGAAACTGAAAAATTGAAGATTGAAGCTGTCCACAAATATATTTGCAGTGTTGCTTCTGCTGCCATTGTTCTTGTTATTGTACTCCACTAACTGAGCCTCAACAACGAGTATTTGGCCATTAAAACTGCTTATGCGTCACTCACTCACGCAAAGAGCAAGTCAGTCAGTTAGTTAAGACAGCTCGGTGCAGTTGGCAACGCCACATTCAAATGTGAAATTCAACAAGCCAAATAAAAGTTACTCATACGCCGTGTATGCACTGACAATTGGCCTGCATTTTTCGGGGCGGCTCGTTGGTGTTCAAGTGCTATGCGCGGCGCACTCGACCGCAATACAAATGCAAAACAAACACATATTCATATATATATAGACAAACTCAGACACACACACACACACATATATATGGTAAATAAATGTGTTCAAATTTGCCACAAATGACAACTGCATCCTGTGATTCGACACCAACACACATTCCGTGTGTTTGTTTATGTGCGCACTTCCTTCCCAAATACCTTCAGCAGCACTTGCCACATCTGCTTCAGCACTTCAGCGGCATTTTGGTTGCTTCGGGCGCGTACTTTTTTAACCACCTTTATATGCATATAGTTTTATAATTTGTCATTGTGCGCGCGTCGACGTGACAGGAAATGTGCTCAAGTGGGCATTGGTTTGTGCCACAACTGCTGTGCGTAATTAGAAATCTTCTAGACACGTACGCTTTGCTGTTGGCACAATTTTCACTTTATAGTTTCTTATTTTTTTATTTTTATAAGGTGTCTTTCTTCAGTTGCTTTGCAGCCATTTACTTTCATTTTCATTTCGAATGACCGCAATTTCCATTCCTTACAAATGCTCGACAATCATCCTTGTTGTTGTTTTGTCATCATGCATGTATTGTATGTGTCTGCTTCGTGACTTTCGTTGGAAGTGTGCGAGAAAACTATTTTGCTTTTGTAGTTGTAATTAATGGTAGGTGCTAATCACTATAAGACTGCAAACCAAGTCAAGTTGTGACCCCAGGCCGAACGTTTGCTCAGTTGCACTCATTCACTGAACTGCATGCGCGCTTCCACATACCAATACACTACAATTGTCGTGTGCGGTGAAGTGTGTAGTTATAAAGCGTCCAATTAGCTACAGAGGCTGACTTGACATAATTTTCAATTTTATGTGCCTCTTAAAAACAGTTTGTTTGAGCTACTTTTCTTAAAAAAATTTTGTTTTTTTCAATATCGGTATACTATAGCATATAGCTGCCATACGAACTGAATGAACAAAATGAAGTTCTTGAAGGAAAACTTCTTTATTTGACGAGATATCTTCACTAAATTTG